ATTAAAACTTAATACACGTATTACTTTCTACGTGCATAGCACGTGGAGTTCAACGAGTAATAGGAAGAAACAATGAATCCCTAGCTAGATTTCCCTAATCCTCAACCCAAGAGAATGCTGAGAACATGCATTAATTATGTCCTCAGGTAATGGTTGATTGAATATACCCTTTGGTTCTACGTATAGATCATGTATTTGGGATTCATCAAATTCAGTTCTGCGCTTGATGGATATGTTGCCCAAGATGACAACTTAATTTCACTTGTTTAAAGCATTTTTTTAGACTTGATTAAGGATGTGTGCCGTGTGCACAGTCATAGAAATTTGGCGTCATGATAATGAATTATTTGTCATGATCGGGAAATTTATCGAAAAAATTATTGTATAAGTTGAAATTTTTTGAAATTTTCTGTATTATAAGTATGAATACTTTTATAATAAGCATTTGTTGATATTAGTAATGAATAGCAAAGTATATGCTAAAAGTTGGAAATTTCTGAACTATGATGCAGTTACTAAATTTTGGACTGTAATCAAGAAAGAGGCACAAAACATTGTGTTATTCGCACAAGAGGACAAACACATAAATATTAAGTTTAATAAATGAAAAAGAATTTAAAAACATCAATTCTATGATTTTAGAAACAATCAGAATGTAGAATAGACGAAAAAAGGATCTGAAGGCCGAACCGAAAAAATTAGGGTTTTCGACCGATTAGGGTTGATCGAGTCAAAATTTGTTGACCAAGAGTAGACTAATGGGTCACTCTTGAAAAGTTAGTAAAGGTTGAGTAAAGTTGACCAAGTTGACCAAATGTCTGAAAAACGCAGATAAAATGCGCACCGGAAGGAATTAAACTGAACTGAAATAAGATAGTTATTAAAGAGTGAATGGTTGAGATTTAAAGTGATTAAATGATGGAGAGCTGAGATTAGGACACTTGGAATGGAAGCTTATGGCTGGCCAAGACTTAGGGGAGAAGCCAAATAGATATTTTGATATTTTTGTAAAAAAGACCCCAGAAAGTGTCAAAATTGCACTTAAGTCCCTCATCTATTTTGTGAACGTTTTTAAAAGGAAAACAAATACACCCAAAATGTTCATTTTCCATGCAAAAGAACCCGAGAACATTTAGCCAACAGAGAGAGAAAAAAATTCCCCAAAGTGAGAAAAACAAGTTCAAATCCAAATTGGCAGAAAACTACTGTTGATTAGCACCACCGGAGCTTGCTCTTCCCTCTTCTAAGTTAAGGTTTCAATTTTTCTCCTCATTTTTTACCTTGGCTGCGTGTCCATGAACAGTAGAGAACATGGAAAGTTTTTTGCTAAGGATGATGATTTGCTTATGGTTATTAATGGTACCGAAAAACCTAATGTCCAGAGGATAAATTTTCGGTTATTGGGGTTTGTGTTAGCGTTTTTGGTTATGGAGAATTCTTTTGAGAATAGTTATGAAACCCTAAAACTTATGATGTTTATGATGTTGACAAGAATGAGAAAAGTTGTGATATGTGGTTTAAATGTTGAAACAATGGATAAAACGAGCTATGGTTAGCTCGGGAAACATAAAAATTAGGTGAAACTCTTTTGAAATTTAGAATAGGAGGAATGCGATGTGTATGTGATGACCCTGCTAAGTTGGCTGTCATTGTAACTAACTTTAACATATACTTTCTAAAACTCTCAAAATTTGAGAGACTTTTTTTTAATGCTATATAGAATGCTGCAGCATTGTTCTTTAAAATGCTGTATTGAATGCTGTAGCATTTTCTTTAAAATGTTGTATAGATTGCTGTAGCATTTTCTTTAAAATACTATATAGAATGATGTAGCATTCTAAGCATAAGTTTCTTTCTCTTAAAGAGCTATATCATTTTTTTAAACTTACTGTAACGACATAAATTCTGGTTTCCACTTTTGAACATAGCAAAGTGTTTATACTTCAAAAATAATTCCTTTTATAAAACATGAATTTACATATAGTTATATTTTTACTTCTCAAAATCCTGCTAGCTTACACAAACTTAACAATCATACTGTAAAATTTCAAAACACAAGTTCATAGACATATTCAACATCTTTTTTAAAATCTTAAACTGTTACGGAAATAACTGCGCGCGGTATCCATTCCCCGACCTCCACTCCGCTCGTCCGCTGCCTCGCCATCAGTCCAGCAAACATTATGTGCAGGTTGCTTACCTACAGTATAAATACTCTGAAATGAGGTTTTGCTCAGCAAGTAGGAACTATTACTCGTAAAATAACTGAAAGTTCACATGACTATATATGCATGAACTGATTATGTTGACTTATGATGTTTTATCATAGTTTTACTGTCTGAACTTATCTTATTTACAGATGTGCTTGTACCACTTGTGCACAATCATCGGGACGTGAAAGTTTGCAAGGTCCCCAACGACACCGTGATTATAACTGAACTGAATGCATCTCTCTCAGAGGACTTTATTAGATTTTTTTCTTCTCCCTTGTGGAGCCTAAGTTACCTCCCTTACAGAGGCTGGTACGACGCTCAACTGAGTTTCTTCTTATAAGTTCATCTTGACTTATTAATGTGTATGCAATATGACATAGCATAGCATACTATAACATGGAATGTACTCAAACACATATAATTCATGTGACTACTTAAGTGTATGCAGTTTGACATAGCATAGCATACATAACATTAAATGTTCTCAAGCATCACTACAACAGAACATGCTTTTTATAATTGTTACTTATAGCGTTTTTAAAAAAACGTTATTAAACATTTTTTCGGTTGTATATAATAACGTTTCGAAATAGTTATAATATGTATAATAAAATTTTGGCTAGTTTATTGTATATACATTTTGGCCAGTTTACTCTAGACCAGAGGCCTCCACTGTTTCCTCTCTATTGTTTGCGTCGCTAAATCTCGCCGCCGACGAGCCTCCATTGGTTCCCCTCCCTCATCTAAGCTCTATTTTTGCTCTGAATCCGAGCCCTAGTCGCTCTCCACCGCCGTTGGTTTTCTTCTCTCCACCGCTGCTCCTTCTCTTCACGGTGACCCTCGCTTTTCCCTCAAAAGTCACCCACCCTTACGGCCTTGCTACTTCTTCTTTTTCTTCTTCTTCTTCTTCCATCTCCGTCATCTCTCCTTAAGATTCGACCTTAGAGAAGTTGTGTTCTTCTCATTTCTTCGTCAGATCGGCCTTCGTGAAGGCTTGTTCTTCTCATTTCTTCGTCAAAATTGGCCTTCGGGAAGTCAGATTTCTTGCATTCGGCAGATTGGTTTCAGGTATTTCCCCTGTCCATTTTTTGTTTTTTTGTTTGTTTTCGTTTGGATGATTTGATCTGTGTTTGGAGTTTGGACCGATGGTTTAATTTGTGTTTGGGAATATGGTTTGGATTTCAAGGAGATTTAGGAATATGGTTTCTCTTTATTTTTCATGAAGTCTTCTTCTTCTTCATCCTCATCAAATCTGGCCTTCAAAAGTGAGATTCTTAGCTTCGTTTCAACCTTTTAGGTATTCCCCATTTCTTCAGCAAATAAGTTTTCTTTTCATGTTCAGAGAATCCATTTCATTGTGGATTTTTGATTTATGTGTTTACGTGTTTTCATTTTGATGATTTATGTGTTTATGTGTTTTCCTCGGTGTCGACGTCAGCACTGGCAGCGCTAATGCAGGTCTCTACCTCTAACCTATCTCTCATTCTGATACATTTGTGTGTGTTTGGATTGTGGAAATTACGCAGGTTTCGTTGTCTGATTGCGATTTTCTTGACGAGTTTGACGGTGTTGTGGTTCGACGTTTGTGGAAATGCATTGAAACGTTTGTTTCTTTCTCTCGCCTTTCTAATGTGTTTTAGATTTTTGAAACTTTGTATGTTTTGCAATTACGACTAATTGCTTGATTGCGGTTTTTCTTTTTTCTTTCTTTTTTTCCTCTGCATTTCTTTGTTTGGACTTTTGACTCGTAAGTTTAGAGATTAAGATTATAGTTTGGCTGGGGTTTTTTTTGATGAGTTTTATGATTCGTTGTTTGTGGTTCGACAGTTGTACTATGCATTGAAATGTTCATTTCTCTCTTGCCTTTCTGTGTTTGGATTTTTGAAACTTCGTATGTTCTGCGTTTAAGATTAATAGTTCTATTTTATAGATTGAATGTGTTTTTTTTTTTTGGTGCATTTCTGTGTTAGGCTTTCTGAAATTTTGTATTTTCTGAGATTAAGATCAATAGCTCAATAATGTACTTTGATTTGCATTTCAGAGTTATTAATGCTTTAGTCTCGTTCTTTGCTTGCGTCATATTTTTGCCTGATGTTTTGAAAAGTGTGTTAATTTCCATTATATTGTTCGATTTGTCTTTTTCTCTCTCGGTTAAAAGACACTTCTAAAGGTTGGAGAGAGAGGTGGCTGTAATTCTCATTTCATCATCACAAGACAATGTACAGCTGTGCCAAGATTGAATCTTAACTTTCGTTTCTTCTTTTGAAGAAATAAATTTTGTTCTTTCTTATATCGTATTGTGCTTAATTACTTTGAATATTCAGACATTAGACTTGTTAAAAGTTGATGGACATTATAGTCTATTTGATGAAAATGGGAAGCTTCTTGGGTCGTCCAGTTGCCCAATACAGATTTGGAAAGAGGGCGACTGCATTGAGGTCATAAAAATGAGCAATTGGCCTTCATTTGTACTTGTAAGTTGTAGTTGAGTGTGGGCAATTTTTGAATCCTTTGAAGTTTAAAAATTTCCATATTGGTCTCGTAACGATACCATATTCAAATAGCCATTTAAAGCATCAGGAAAGATGTTGGAGAATTTGCATTCATGTGGCAATCTTGCATGCTTTCATTAAGGCGATGCACTCTTCATGATTACTCACAGAAGGTTATTCTCTGTGCAGACGATGCACTCTTCATTCCTAAGGAAGTTTTTAGTTTGCTTTAAAGCTTTTTTTTTTCTCTTTTAATATGTTTCTTGTTCCATTATCTTATGAGTTCCTATTGTGCTTGGGTGTGTGAGATTTATAGAATATACTAGTATCAACTTTCAGTTAGTGCTAATATGATAGCTGCTTTTGGTGCTGAAGCTGCAACATCTATTTCTACAAATCCACTTGGTATTCAAGACAAGACTTCAGGTTTGTCTTTAAATAATTCTTGTTTGTCTTGGTAAATCTATATCTATGATGTTCAATGAAATGATGCTTATAATTTGCATAATGTTTATCATCCTAAACCTATGTATGTTTGTCTTGGTTGTGAGATGCTTTAATCAGTGTGTCCCTCGCTTTATGTATTCTCATCTTTGTGCTTATGGATTTGACGCTCTTACCCTCCACTAGTTGCCTAGAAACTTTTTTTGGATTTTTGATTTAGTATGTGTTCATTTTGTTATTTTGTTGGCTTTTGTTATTTCCTACAGGTCAATACATACTTTGTTCAGTTGTTGGATGAAGTTTTACTAAAGTTGAACAACAAAATGAATGAAGTGGTTAGTCCTGATGTCAATGCATACTTAAGCAGTCTTGATGTCAAAACGCACACTTAAGGGATTTCTCGGATGGATGAAGGAGACAGGATCATCATCTTTGAAAGGGGAGACCTCGTCTTTGCCTTCAACTTTCATTGGAGTAACAGTTACTTCAACTACCGAGTTGGCTGCTTAAAGTCAGGAAAATACAAGGTAATGTTCTATTTAGCTTGATTGAAGACAAACTTTATCTTGTTTTGATAGTAGAGTTTAACTACGAGATACTTTGATCTACTTAGTCGCTTATACAAACATTTAATTGCCGAACAAAAAGGGAAAAGGATGAGGATGTTGCAGACATCAGTTTGTGTATAAAATATTATCTCCAAGTATGCAAGTGTTGAACAAGCATTTCAAGTATGCATGATTTGATTTTCAATGATGAGGAACTGATAAAATATGTCCTTTGTTTCTTCAAACCTAAAAACATGAGGTTTGATGTGGTATCAAAGTCTTTTGATTCAGAAGGTGAGCTTTGTGTGTGTGTGTCAAACGGGTGGGTGGGGAGGTTTTTGGGGGTAAAAAAAACTATTGTTGGAAATTTTTTGAAGATCATGAATCCTTAGTTATTAATTATATTATTAATCATGACTTGTAATAAGAGAATGCAGCTATGTTTTTCCCCCCTATATCCCTGACAATCTATTTCTTCACAGCTATATATGGTAGGACTTCGCCATGGCAATTTATGAGAAGAAGTAATTGCCATTTCAAATATATTTAAGACGTTTTTGTCTGAACAATCGCACGTATAAAGTGAGGCACAAAAATGATGTCATCCGTCTTCCTGGTGCTAACCTTGTCAGAGATGTCAATGTAAGGAATAAGATGGAAAAGAACTCAGTTGTTGAGGTAATGCATTGATAGATCTCTTTAATTAAATTGTGAAAGAACCAATATTAGGTAATTCATTGATAGATCTCTTTAATAAAATAACTCAAGTGCTCTTGCTCACAAGTTTATGCCTTTATAGTAAAATTTGCTCTGCTGTTCACTTGTATGGTTTATATGGTTTTTTCTTTTTGTGCTTCAATAGTTAATCAATTTATATGTTTTAATTAATTAATTGGACTAATTTTGTGACATGTCAATAGTTGCTCTGCTGGAGGAGATGACATTTTTGTTGGAGCATTTTGTCAAGATGGATTATTTACTTAACCATTTTATTTGGCTAGACATTTTGGATACTTTGATATCTCTTACTATTTCTCTGTATTCTTTACTTGTTTTTAATGTTAAAGTTGTGGACAGATGGTGTGACTTGTGTTGTAAACATCTTATTGCCAACATTGTAGATATTGATAACAATTATTACATTGAATGTTTTTATGTTTTAATTTGAATGTTTCTATTTAGATATAAGATGTTGCGCGGAATTATCATTTATTTGAATGAATTCAAAAGGATATCAATAATAATTTTAAAAAGCTATAAGAGTATGAACATAACAAGGGAAAAAAGCTATTAATCTGCACCGTATCTATGCTAAATAATTGTAAGAGATTGAAAATAACATGTCTTATACGTTATAAGACCTTAATTCTATAGTGTTTTTCGTAACGGTCTTAGAACGTTATGTTTTCTTACAACTTTTAATAGCGTCTGATGTCCTAACGCTTCATAAAATGCTATTGGTAGTGCTTAATAGCGTTTTTGGTCAGCTACTGATACTGATATTTGTTGTAGTGCATATATAATTCATGTGTATTGTTTATTTTAAAATCTATTTATACTGTAGGCGGGATTCTTACTTACCTGTTTTTAGGAAGTGGAATCCTCTATTCGCCAAAGAGTTTGTTCTCTTTCTTTCTTGCTTCTGAGAATGAACACCCATTAAGAGTGTGAGATTAATTATCACTTGCTATTCTATTTTAGCAAGCTTAAAAGAAAGTCTAACTTCTCTATTTCTGGCTTTCTTTCTCTTTTCTATCTTAAAGGATTATGAAACCTTGTTTCTAATTTAAAGATTAGGTTTATCAAATCCCCATAACCTTACTTTTCATTAAACAAGGTTCAAACTCAAAATATTTTCTTGAGATTATACTTCGAGTTCTTCAACGAACTCCTCTGTTTGACACCAAAACTATTTTAACAGTTATGTAGTGTTTTTCTAAAAAAATAGTTTAAAACTTCTATTTAGAACTAAAACCAAGTTTAGCCTCAAATTCTAGAACTAAAACTAGGTTTAACTTCAAACTCTTAATCTATATTTCGGCAGAGTTTCGCCTTATTTTTCTATGTTTGCCGAGCTAACTTTAGCTCATTTTATCCATTACTTTATCTTATAAACATAACTAACAATCTTTCACACAATTTAATCAACTTAGGAACCATACTCTAGGGTTCGATCAAATTTCTCACAAGGATTTCATATTTAAAAGTTGCTAGAAACATAATCTAACAACCTAAAATTCATCCTTTAATCACTAACCATATCCTTCCTCTTTCAAATACACCATCAACATCATCATGGTTTTAGGGTTTCTCCATATTTCTATCCAAATTCTCTATATCAATTGCTAGAAATAAAAGTTCCATAACCAAGAATTTATCCTTAGTTCACTGGTTTTCAAGTTCCTTAATAATTACAAGCAAATCACCATTTTTAGTAAAATTTTTCCATACTTTCCCTACACTTCCACGGCAGCCAAGGAAGAAGAAATGAGAGGAAAAACTTGAAATCTCACCTTAGGGAATGAAGATCAAGCTTCAGTGACGCTATTCCTCGGTAACTCTGTTGATTTTCACTTAAATCCCTCATTTTCTCACTTTTGATAATTTTTTTCTTCTCTTTCTTGGATGAACACCCACGGTTCTTGACATGAAAAATGAATATTTGGGGATATTTTTACCTCTTAAAAACAGAACTTAATAAAGTGGAAGGACTAAAATGCAATTTTGGTACTTTTGAGGGACTTTTTTGTAAAATTTCACCAAAATATCTCATTTCTTGGCTTCTTGTACAAGCTTGGCGGGCCACCTCACTAAGCAAGTGGCATGATCACAGCACTTCATCTAAAAAGTTACTTTAAATCTCAACCATTGATCATTTAATAATTATCCTATTTTGGTTCAGCTTAATTTCCTATCCAGTGCACATTTTATCTGCATTTCTCGAACAGTTGGTCAACTTAGTCAAGTTTGACCATTCTTGAATAACTTTTCAAGAGTGACATTTTGGTCGACTCTTGGTCAACAACTTTGACTCGGAGCACTTAAATTAGTCGAAACCCCAATTTACGCGATTCGACCTTTCAGACCCATTTTTTATACATTTTTTTTGTTTTGATTGCTTCTAAAACCCTAGAATTGATGTTTTTCAATTTTTTTTGTTCTGATTCGACCTTAAGATTTATGTGTTGGCCCACTTGTGCATTTTTCACAACATTCTGCATATCCTTCCTTATTGCAGTCTGAAAGTCGGTAACGGTATCTTGCCTAACTTAAATTTCTAATTGCTTACTTGATGTCATCTTGCTTACATAAGGAAGGTTTAGTGAACAGGTAATCACCCATGAATATTCTATTCTTATAGCTATTCCAATTACTTCATACTGACTTTTGAGAATTTACTTAGTTGACAGGAAATTTCAGTTCTCGACTTTGTCAACTTCTAAACTCATATTGCATCTGAATTTCTTTACTGATACACCAGAGCGTTTCTTTATATGCTGCTAATATTATACTGCACTAAGAGATTCCTAGAATTAGGATTCTCAAACTGTATATACACAAAGGATTTCTTCCGCCTTAATTGCGGTAGGAATTTATCAACTGAATTTACTTGTTCTTAGATGATGGACTCATCATAAGACTTGCTACAAAATTTAGGAATACTGATATTAATTCCATAAATCCTTCAGTCACAAAATATGACAGTATATTACTGAGAAAAGTCCTTGACTTAAATAAATAAATTTACATTATTTAATTGTAGGATTTTCTCGGTCATTACAGTGTAAAATAAGTTGATTAGGTGATTAAAGATGTGTGGGAACCTAAAATGATGAAAATTCTCAGTTTCAGACCAAAATCGAAAACTAGGTTAATGACCCGAAACTTGTACCCAAATTTGCTCAAGCTAAAGGACCAAGATAGAAGCTTAATTTCAAAAAGTGACTAACATTAATTTCAAGGGAATTTCATTCTGAACAAATTTTGTGAAATAGTTTTTTTTTTTCTCAAAAACAACCCTAGACGTCAGTTTTGGGATGATTTTTGAACAGGTCCAAAATGGTGATTTTAGGCCAAGTTCGCACGGGTTTGGTGCACCTGGGTGATATAAGAGGTGTTTCGGTCTGAATACCGAACGTAAAAATCATAGATCTTTTCAAAGATTTTAGACACGACATGTGCACTCCGTATGACATTTACAGAACCACAAACTGGAGTCAAATTGTAATGTAATTACTTTCTCTTAGATTGTAAATCTAACGATCGAGAATTTATATGATAGGATTAGTAGGCGATCAAAGCAGAAAAGCTGCTGGTGACTCGAAGTCTCGACTTTAGTGGAACTTCTATAAGTACAAGCAGTTTTCTTTTGTCTATATCACGAACAAATTTATTTCTCTGTATTGCACAAAATAGAGCATATTGTAAGTTCAATGTATGTTATTATCTCTTGATTATTATTTGTTGCACTGAATGTGCTTATAGACTTAAAGTAGCAGTAGAATTTTAATTTGCAAAATAGTCAAAGTCAAAGTCAACAAAAAGTTAAAGTCAAAGTCAACAAAAAATTTAAACATTTAAATAAAGTCCAATTTCATAGAAAATTAACAAAAATGCTTAAAGATGCAATAATATTACTAAAATTATTGTCATAATACCAAAAAATGACAGTAAGACGATGAGACTAAAATTACTGTCATGATAAGAAAAAAAAGACAGTAAGACGATAAGACTAAAATTACTGTCTAATAAGAAAAAAAAGATAGTAAGATGATAAGTTTAAAATTACTGTCATGATAAGAAAAAAAATGACAGTAAGAGGATTTAAGAAGTAAAGATTACAAATGATAAGAAGTTAAAAAAACTGTTTGTACCGGCCTTCGCAAGGGAGGTTATTATGAATGAAACGAAACCATGAGTGAGTTGGTTTTGGGTTGCTATCCCACTCCTAACTAGTTATGCATGATGCGGTACAACAGGTACGAAGCCCATAAGATGTAAAAGTTAAAGATTAAGATTAAAATTATTGTCATGATAAGTAAAGATGACAGTAAAACGATGTATAAAGTAAAGATGATAAATGACAGAAAGTTAATAAAACTATTTGTATCAGCCTTCGCAAGGGAGGTTATTATGAATGAAACGAAACCATGAATGAGTTGGTTTTGGGTGGCTACCCCACACCTCATTGGTTATGCGCGATACGGTTCAACAGGTGTGGGGCCCATAAGAAGGAAAACTTGCGAGAAATGAATGACACAAGAACGAAGTTGTAAAGAAGTATGAAATGAAGAAAAGGAAAACATAACATGATGGAATGAAAGAAAAGAAAGCATAACACGATAGAATGAAAGAAAAAAAAGCATGACACGATGAAATGAAAGAAAAGAAAGCATGACACGATGAATGAAAGAAAAGAAAACATAATACGATAAATGTTTTAAATGTTTTGAAAATGTGCTAAGGTGTACGACATGAATCCATATATGGGTATGCATTACTAATTGCTCTTGGTTTGGTCTGCTGTTACTTGTTGAGCGAAAGCTCATCTCATTTGTTCGTGTTGTAAGAATCTAGAGTAAGGCATGGACTCCCTGAAACTTGTTTGTTGGGCATGTAGAAAAGGATGATGCGGTGGGATGTGGGCAACTG